GATACCACTAAAAGTTACCAAGTGGAATGCCCAATGTATCATATTTGATACAAAATTTATTTCCGAAATTTGAGCTGCGAAAAAATATTTGACTCCAGATTTCGAGCAAGGGACCCAAAATGAATCATATGTCACAAGGTGCTAATTTTAGGAACCGTGGAACTATGTGTGGGCATTAGAGGGTTAAACTGATGCCAAAGAGAACGTCTTCGCTGCTTTTTCCAACTCATTCTGTGAGGAGCCACTTTTCATCTAAGAAAATTTGGTCAGAGCCACCAAAACCATTTTTACCAGCCCTGATCTTAGGGGGAGGGGGCGAAACGGCCCCCCTACGGGTGGTAGGGTCCGCCGATAGCCCTACGGGGCGCGGGTTAAGCGACGTTCCCAGTGACGTTCCATGGCCGTATTGATGATTAAAATTATGGCTTTCCCACTCTCGAAAGAGATTATCAATGATCAGATTAAGGATAACGCATTGTTTGCGATCCCAAGTCCCACCGTTATTTCGGTTTTGCAATAATCACAACTGTTTGCACTAACCCTGAGTCGCCACTAGTTGCTCCGAGTGGCATAATCCTATTTACCGTTGTTACATAACAGCCACAACTTGTCCGCCATTGGAGAGGCTTCAGTAGCCCAGTGAGCGCCCACAACGATGACGAACACAATGGAACAAAAACAGAAGCCGTTCCGTTTGCATTTGTAAATCGGATTTCAAATACAAGTATTGCTTTCTTTTTATATCATTCCTCACTCATTTCCAACAATGTTATGGCCAACCGTCCACTTGTTTTTGCTTAACTCAATATTGCATTTTGCCTTTTCAACCTATTATCCGTCTGCTTAGCGATCATTTTGGCGATCAAATATCTGCCCACTTTTCTTTGTTTTCTGATGTCATTTTATACATTTAGTCATTTTATATAAATATCAGGGATGCGGAGCCGGAGCCGGAGCCGGAGTCGGAGCCGGAGCCGCCGGAGCCGGCATATTTTGCCCGGAGCCGGAGCCGGAGCCGGAGCCGCCAAAAAGGGGGCGACTCCGGCTCCTTTTTATTTTTGAAGAGGAAAAAAATAATTGGCTTAGTTCGCTTTGACAGTACAAGGCAGTAAAACATATGGTAAGTACGTCATGGGCCATCAAGTGAATGAAAAAAGCCGAATATCCCCAGTATCCTACAGTACGCGATCAACTTCCTGTCTGCTCCTCCCCCTCCCCCCCCCCCCCCACGTCTACTGCATCCCCAGAACATGAGGACCGGTCATCAGGTGACGGCCATTGTTTTGAAGCCAGTGCAGTGGACTGCGACTCCCAGCACCGTCTCTTCCCCCCTCCCCCCCCCCCCAATGCAGCCGAGACGGGTGTCAGCTTACGATGGTTCAGTGAACTCTGATTCGCGGCGACTGCGTTTCCAATGCCATCGCTTCCTAGTCCTTTGTTCTGCCAGTTCTCTCCGAGGTGCGTTTGCGCGGGGACGCGGTGAGCCGGTCATGGCAAAGAGTAACGCGTATAACCAATCCAATTTTTCTTCCACCCGTATTTAATTGATTGCATAGGGGATGTACTGAGTCGGAGCCGGAGCCGCCGGAGCCGGAGCCGCCGGAGCCGGACCATTTTACTCGGAGCCGGAGCCGGAGCCGGAGCCGCCATAACATTTTACCCGGAGCCGGAGCCGGAGCCGGAGCCGATTTTTTCTCCGGAGCCGGAGCCGGAGCCGGAGCCGTCTGAAATTTCCACGGCTCCGCATCCCTGATAAATATAGCAGTCGTGTTATGCTTCCCATCCATAATTAATATATTCAGTGCGCATGCTCTACATTTGCAGAAATAGCAGTATCATCGAATTTATCCAACGCTTATAATCATTCTTTCGCTTCTGCCCTTCTTCCTAGATAGCACCTCCCCGTGGGCCGTGGAGACTACGGAGCTGTCACATGGACGCCTCATTCTGATAGCATATTTTGTTTGCGTGTCTGTACGCATGGGTAACGCCTTTTAGGCTCTCAGTGAGCCTCTGTGCCTCTATGAGCCTCTGTTAGGTCTATCTCTCTGGGTCTCTATGGGCCTCTCTGTGGGCCTCTGTGGGTCTCTGGATGGTTTTCTGCAGGGTCGTGTCGGCCAGGTGCCAGGCGCTGGCCTCGCGGCGGCCACTCATTAACGAGCCGATCGATAGACAGAGTAGCACGCACGAGGAGGGCGAGGGAACGGACACACCGGGGAAAGGTACAGGCGGACAGGGGAGGAGAGGGGGATGGATGGAGAAGGAGGAAAGGGAAGGAGCGAATTGGTTTGGAAGGTACAGTATAACGGGACAGGAAAGGGGACAAGCATGAGAAAGTGCGAGACAAATTGAGATAAATGGGGAAAACAGGAGAAAAATAAAACCAAACAAAAATAGAAATATTTCGACCATGAGCACAGTTGCACAAAATTGATATTACATACATGCTATAAAAAATCCGATTTTGATGGAACTCAAATCCCCACCCAGTCATTTATGAACATAAAAACATTAACAATAGCATAAATGGATGGTGTTACTTTTTCAAAGCACAAACCATCATCTTGACTCAGTTACGTGGCACTGGTAACCAAATATTCCCACAATGTCTGGTCTATATTTCCACAATATTCCCACAGCCCCCAAACACATTTGACACAGCTCTCCCACAGCACACCGCCCCCATTAGATCCCGCCATCTCGGGTTTCCTCGCCGGCCGGAGGACCTCTCTGCGAGCACAACACGGGCAGAGTGCTGGGTCTCCGTGTTGGAGGGCAGAGAGAGAGAGACATCAAACAAAGCCAGTGAGACGCCGTGTCGGGTGACCGCCCCCGGGGCATTCGGCGCCGGGAAGACCTGGGGGACAGGGAGTACGTGATGGATAAACGTGCGGGGAATTATACACACCGCGAGTGCGGAGAGAGAGCTTTGGACACATCTGAGGGACGTGATGTTACAGAATAATGTAAATGGACACGCAGCACGTTATTTCATACATTTAATGATAATTCCAAAGTAAGACTACGTTAACAAATATCACTAACATATTTCGCAACATAACTTATGACACAACGCTTCACCTAAAAGAGTAGCCAGCTCTCACAATATCAGTAACTTGTTTTTCTTCCTACAATACGTATCACCTTTTTGTATAACAACCCCATAAGTACCATTCACATTTCCTATGGGACCACTTCCCACAACCACCTCCCCTCCATCAAACACTCGCCACATCCTGGCATATTTTCCTCACGCTCCCACAGCGCCTGACCACTTCCCCATCGGAAGCACCCCCGGCCATTTCCCGCGAGAAGACGTGGCAATTTCGCAGCGCGGACGTTTAGCGATTCCTTTTGGCGTCTGCGACAAATCGAGCAGAGGGGTGCATTGACAAACGAGCATAAGGCCGGGCCAGCGAGTCGCTGATGAATGGTGATAACCCACGCTGCCGTGAGATGAGGCTATCGGGGCTGGGAGGGGAGGGGAACGTGAGAATTCCGCGGGCCAGATCGAGTGGTAAATGGCTATGAGTAGAGTGTGTAATGTCGCGGAAAGCCGCACATGTGTTAGGGTAGGGACTTGACGAGAATTAGAGAGATAAGAGATTAGGATAGCTCGATTAGACTGCACTAATATGGTGGTTGTTAATCAGCCAAGGGATCTTCGTCTTAGTTATGTGCCGTCCGCGGGACTTGAAAAGGCTGAATAATGCTGGTACAAGGTAGCTACTTTAGGTAGACATTTTTTTTAGTTATTATATGTAGGAAATAAGAACAAGCCATGAAATGTCAGCGTAATAAATCACTCGCAAAAGCATTGCTATACACTCCTTGCACTGATCGCACCACTCTCTGTTGTGCCTAGTAACACTGACCGTGTTCGCTAGCTCATACAACTGCGGATCATGTTCATGAATACAGACGGCCACCAATGACGTTTGTTTTCGCCCACTCGGATACAAACTACGACCAATGAGAAACCCCTCTGTATGCATTGACTGTAGCACGGCCGGTACTTTAGCGGAACGGGCCACACTGGACTGAGATCAGCCGCGCGATTGTCTCTTCTTCATATGACGTCAAAAGGCAACGAATCCTGTTTCAATAACTAGGGTCGAGCTAGGACGCATGGTTTTCAGTAACCTAGTTTCCCCCTGTTGCTATGACAACGCAAAGAGTCAATAGCAACATTTGGTCATCGATCGTTACCTTGGATCATTACAAGGGTGCATAAATAATTGGCTTACACGTGTACGCGATAGAATCGGGATCCTTTAACCTATGTAATCGACAAACATCTTAGACCAGTACCTAGGGCTGAAAAGGCATAGGGCAATTTAAGATGTCAACAAAATGAACAGCAACGGCTGATAATCTAGAGACCTTAGCCGGCACGGCAACAAGGAAACAAGCACAAAGCATTAGACGTTTCCATAGCATTGTCAATGATGAGGAACACTTCAATTTACTTCAAATTTCTAAACCATAAGCTTTCCTGTCCTCACTATATCCGCAAAGCTGATAACAGCGCCAACTCTGTGCCAAGACGATTACCTTCAATTATCTTCAAGTATCTAAAACTATCTACAGCAAATCATAGCTAAGTCTTAGCACCGATTTTCCCCACCGCCACTCCAATCAATGCCTGGAATGACACACAAAATACAACATGATATTCGCGTACTCAAATAACGAAGAAAAAAATCTAAGCAAATTAATCAAATAAAACCGATAAAACCTACGATTCCCTTTCATCATCAAAGATCCACTGTGTCATCGCTAACATCGCTTTGTCGTCGCTCTAGACGCTTGGTACCGCGTCGTCCGGTGCGTCGTATAGCGGTTCATGACGCATCGTCGTCAAAACCGGCGCGGTGTGTCATTCATGACGCGGCGCGACGATATCGACGCTGGCGTGTGTCGAGTGACGCCCGGCGCCTCCGTCGGTGCGTACCTGGCCCCCCAGTCACCACCTCCTCCCCTTCTCTGTCGCCAGGTACCGACGGCAGGCGCACGTGCGGCTCACTCGACACACGCCAGCGCCTACCGGTCATGCTGCTGAGCGACTCCTGACCTCGGTGACCCACCCCGACCCCGCGGAGAACCTCGGAGGACTGGCAGGTCACTGGGACGAAACTCGACGGCACCCTGGCGGGCGACGCAGCCACGGAGGATCACCAGGAAGCACAATAAAGTCACGACCAGTCACGGCGGCATCTTCAAAAAGGGCAGCGGTTATCAACGCTATCCGAGTAATCATCTTAGAAAAACGGAACCCAACAAACAACCACCAAACTGCACACAACTCCGCTAGTAAATCTCCAACAGCATTTATCGCATCGCGGAAACATCTGCTGCTGCTGTCTCAGTGACGTCATCCGAGCTCAAGAGCCCTCAAAGACCGGAGGTCGAGCACCTCTGAAGCACGTCGTATTGATTTAAAACCGGCGGCCGACAAGCCGCGCTCTGTAGGGCTCTTGGGCACGTCTCGAGTCTCTTGAGAGCTGCTGGGAGGTCCGTACGACGCTCTCCCACACTAGGAAGCGTGCGGTATCTTCCTGCATCGCTCCGTGTTATCTCCGCGACCCGGAACAGCCCCGCAGTCCCGCATCTCTCGGGCGTAGGCACGCCACAAGAAGCGTCCGTGTTTGTGCTGACTGAAGAGCTTCAGTAGCGCCGTCACCATGCCGAGAATTCCAGTTGTCGGCATTGACGCCGCCGAAATCGTCCACTGGTGTAACGCCAAGCTGGACCAGATCGATGTCCGTCTTCAGGATGGTCATGCGCAGAGGAAGCTGGTGCTGGTTATCGTCAGCATCGCGCTCCTGTTGGACAACATGTTGTACATGGTCATCGTTCCCATCATACCAGACTACCTACGTCGAATCGGTATCTGGGACACACACATTGAGGGCGGTCAGAAAATCTACGCCAATGTCTGGCAAGCCAACAGCACGGGAAACTACTCCGTGAAGACGGTCAGCAAGATCATCAACGGTGTCACGGTGTATGAGAACGAGGACGCCGCGATAGGATTCCTGTTTGCTTCCAAGGCCATCATTCAGCTAATGGTGAATCCCTTCTCGGGTGCCATCATCGATCGCATCGGTTACGACGTCCCGATGACCATCGGTCTGCTCATCATGTTCTTCAGTACGGCGCTGTTTGCCTGCGGGCGCAGCTACGGCGTCCTGTTCTTCGCCAGAAGTCTGCAGGGAGTCGGCTCGGCGTTTGCAGACACCTCTGGTCTCGCCATGATCGCCGATCGATACACGGAAGAGTCTGAGCGTACAAGAGCGCTGGGCATCGCCCTGGCGTTCATCAGCTTCGGATGTCTGGTCGCACCACCGTTCGGAGGCCTGCTGTACGAGTTCTGTGGCAAAGAACTTCCGTTCCTTCTTCTAGCCCTCGTCTCCTTCGCTGACGCGATCATGTTACGGCTCGTGATGAGACCCATCAAGAAACAGCAAGTCGCCGCCGGCTACACCATGCCCCAAGGCACGCCAATCTGGCGTCTGTTCGCTGATCCGTACATCGCTCTTTGCGCCGGAGCACTGATGATGTCGAACGTATCGCTAGCTTTCCTGGAGCCCACCATCAGTGTCTGGATGATGGACCACATGGATGACGTCCAAGAGTGGCAGCTGGGGATGATCTGGCTGCCGGCGTTCTTCCCCCACGTCGCCGGTGTCGTGTTGACGGTGAAGATGGCAGCGATGTACCCGCAGTACCAGTGGGCGATGGCCGCTGGCGGTCTCGCGCTGGAGGGTGTCAGCTGTCTCTTCATACCGTTTGCCACCAACTACTGGGTAATGATGCTGCCCATCTCGACCATCTGCTTCGGAATAGCGCTGATCGACACCGCCCTGCTCCCGATGCTTGGTCTCCTTGTCGACACACGTCACGTCAGCGTCTACGGCAGCATCTACGCCATCGCCGACATCTCCTATAGCATGGCGTACGCCTTCGGCCCCATCATCGCCGGCAACTTGGTCAACTCTGTCGGCTTCACGGGTCTCAACATCGGCATCGCGGTGTCGAACGTCATCTACGCTCCGCTTCTCTACATCCTGTGCTACTGGAACAAGCAGCAGATGCAGCGTCAGGGAGAAACCGAACAGATCAACATGGCCGACCACCCGACGGAATACAAATCCTACTCGGCCCTGGAGGATGACAATAGCATCCAGGGAGACAAGTATGCGATGGAAGAAACACAGCTGGATGGACAGTATCAGGCCGGCTTCGGACAGAACGGCAGTTACGCGCAGCACCAGCAGCAGTATCAACAACCTCAGTATCAGCAACCACCGCAATACCAGCAGCCACAACAGTACCAGCAACCACAGCAGTACCAGCAGCCCCAGCAGCAGTATATCCAACAACAACAGGTGCCAGCCAACGGGCACGCGCCACAGCCTCCGGCGCGGCCGCCTGCACCCCGACAGGAGTCGATCGGCAACTCCAATGCCAACCCCTTCCGACCTCCCGCCTCCAACCCGTTCCGAGCAGGAGACGCGAATCCGTTCCGCGGAGGAGCGCCTCCCACCTAGTGGTGACCCGGTGAACTAGAAACTATCAAACTCTGGTGAATGCGTGAGAGTGAGTGTTAAAGGCTGCTGGGTAAGATAGAATGTGGAAGCTTATGTGCGAGTGTGTAACTGTTGTGAGGCGTCGATCTCGTTAATGCTGCGATGTTTTGTGCTAAGACGCCGCAGATATTCCATTGTTGATCGTCTGTGAAGTTCGTTCGTGCGATGTCCAACCGATGGACTCAGTAAGCCGTATTTCCGCGCCGGTAACTTGAAGCGACAACACACACACCGCATACAGCAGCCTCTGCATACAAACGAGGTAACCGCGATACCCAACGCCCCAGCGATCAAAGCCAATAACCGTCCGCGCGTGTGGTCACCCTGGCAACCAAAACCAAGCCGCCCCGCGGGCCCGCTCCCTCGCGCCAAAGTCCTCAGCAAACAATCCCGTACCAATCTGGCGGCCTCTCTACCTGCTCTTGGCAGTGCTCAGCACAACTCGGAGGGGCTCGGTTAAGCCAAACGGCGTAATTGGGTGTTTGCTGGCCTAACGAGACCCGCTATAATTGGACTCGCCTTTATTGGAGGTACACGAGGGGGTATGGCACGTGCGCACAGACGCTAACGATGCTGGCGAGAACACTCGGACCGGGCGACTGGCGGCCCGTGCGCCGACCAGAGAGCTAACAAAAGTCGGAGAGCGGCAAACTGTGCGCCGAGTTAGTAATTGGGAGATGGTGCTTTTTGTTTATTTCATTTTTTTGTAGTCAGCCGGATCAAAGTCGTTAGAAATGTTTTCTTTTAATGATCTCTAACTTCGAGCTCTAAGGATAGGGACTTGATTACCTCTGGTCTTTTATTGATTTATCGATCACCCCGCTAAGCTAATCCCAAACAAACCCTACCTACTTGGTGAAGTGGTAGGTCAAATCAGCTAACCAGCAAACTGACTATCTCGTGTAAAAACACACAATTTTCGACAGTTCCGAAGCAACTAATAATCAGCATCAACTACACAGACTTAGACCATCACGTTTTGTAACTATCTGTCATCGTTCGGAAAATCCAAAATTACACGTGAACTAAATTTACCTCCATTTCAGTTGAAAAATTTCCATTTAACTCGCAGTCCAACGTCACTTTTTGGATCTCTTATCGCAACCTGCCCGATGGCACCAGCTAACAGAGGACGCATCATTTCCTGCATTCCCCCTCCCTCAGTTCTAGGTCACCCCTTCTGTCCTCTTCCATCGTCGGCGGCGACGCGTCCCATTGTTGGCACGGCGTCGGCGTCTGTTCCGCTCTCACCATCGATCATCGTCCCCTGTGTGTCGGCGGTGCCGAAACAGGGGAACGTCCCAGGTGGCCGCCGCCACTCAGACCGTCAGTTCTCATCAGACGGTGACGGTCTGGACGCGAGCAGGAATTGGCACGCGCGAAGCGCGTGTGATGAAATCAGTGACGCGCGGGGAAATCATTGGCGCGCATGAGACAGTGGTTGGCGAGCTTTTAAATTACAGGTAACAATTATACATGGAGAATGTTTGGGCAGACAATTTTCCATAGCTTTTTCATTACAGTTAGCGGTTTGATTTGAAACATGACAAAAATGATGCCTTTTTATAGATAATAGCATCCGTCGGCAAAAATCGAGGAGCATCAAACTATGATTAGCAACTTTCAGCTTAATTTCTTCCGCTTAAAAATGTTTACGATGAAAAGTGCTCGCTCTTAAACAAAGGGAACGCCTCATATTTAAAGGGACTATCCCACCTTTAACATGGGGTTTGAGTTGAGATAGCCAAGTTTGCGGCGAGGTTCAGAAACCACTATCTATCTAGGTTGCAACCCCCGCGGCCTCTTGGTGTTGAAGAAATTCGTTCCCTTCATTTGCAAATGGGCCTTGTACAAGGCCCTATCTTCAACATGGAGCGACCGTTAGTGTGACGTCACCTCGTTTAGTCATTCTGATTTAAATAGGTTTGTTCGTTGAAAAATCGCTTAAAACCTGGTCTGAACTTTGTTGTGGTGCCTACAGAGTAAAAAGAATCAGCTTTATGACAGTAATGTGGCCAGGGGAAGGAGGTAATTTTGGGCTGTGACGTCACATATTTGAAAGTTTGTGTTTGGAATATGGGAAGCCTAAGATGTTTAATGAAAAATAAATGCCAGAACCGTGTTCCTGGTCATCCAATCTATAAAGTCGGGCACAATTTAACTGGTTTTAACAACATTTTAGAAGGTGGGATAGTCCCTTTAATGTCACACACCTAATCCAAAATGCTAATCCATGCCAAGCCTCATCCCACCACCAAATGATACCAAAAATAGCGTGCAACAATTCCCACACCCCTTCCAATTTCGTGTGAGCTATTGAATAAAATCAGGGACAAACGCCAGAGGACATTAACCTCACCATAAGTAACCCCCCTTTGACGCTCAGAATGACATGATTGCACAGAGCGTTACTAGAGTATCTGGTCAGATAGGTGCGGTCAGATATCGACCGGGTATCTAGCCGAATAGATACCGGCAGCACGGGCATTTTGAAGATTCAACGAGCAATAAGTGGTAATGGAAGCGATTCTGTTTCAGTGACGCGTCAACAATGGTGATGTGTGATATCACGCCATATGACGCCATTTCCACGTGACGTCATACTCTTGCTAAACCGTCACAGGTTTTGTAGATATCATGAGTGAGTGTATGGATGCGTGCTAGTCATTTGTTTCAGCATTAAATACATATAACAAGTGTTTATTTATTGGAGATGAGCTAAGCTTTCAGTGAATAAGACGGCTGCAAGGGGCATTTTTAGTTGTGTGGTGATGCATTGCACAGTGCACAATTAGTTAACCTAAAATTATGAGATTGAGGTTAAGTGTCGAACATCATGGCTTCCGTTTCTGCGTAAAATGAATACCCATTAAACTCTTGCCACCTTTACTTCTTTCGTTCTATTGGTCGAAGTTTCAAAATCAAGATGAAAACTTTCCGTCAGTCCATAAAAATTTTGCAGTTCCTTAATCTTTTTAAATGTTCAGTATATATTTGCACTAACCACAACAGCTGCACAGGCATAGGACCAAGCTAATACATAAACTACACTAGCAGCGCGAGTTGAGAAACTATAATGCATGCTGAATGATTGACGAAGATAAGATATAGGCTTTCTCCGCCGCGTATTATGGGCTAGTGTTGTTGTATTCATTGTGTAAATCTGCGTCAAGTGTTGTACATATCGACAATGTTATTCGCTACGGTTCGAAAGATCTATGTGTTAGTGATACAGTGTCAATTATGTGCGTTTGTAAACGTCTTACATGAGTCAATGTGAAACAGTGTGGCGACTTACCTGTTCATATTGGGTGCAAATTCGAGGGATGGGTCCCAGATGAAAACACGATCGATGCTTTCGGAAGTGACAAATGAAATTGGAGCACGTGACAAATCTATTTGAGTCATTATTCAAATTACGTGACGAATTTGCGTCAAATATGAACGGTATTCAGTCCCACATACATATCAAGAATGATACATATCAATGTAACTGTAAATAGATGATATTGCCATGCGTGCTCATGTGCGTTGTGTCAGGATGTGTGACGTTGGTTCATTTTCAATCCTAGTTTATTTGCACAATATGAACAGAGCCACCTAGTCACTTCCCAACGGTTCTAAAAAAGAAACTTTTATTATGTTTTACTCATCTCTGTGCAATATTTGCAACAATGTGCAATATATTGATATCATAGTGAACAGCCTAGCTGTAAAGGCAAGCTGTCGACTGAAGATGCATATCATTTGACATATCCCTTTTACAATAGTGTACCACACAAGGCGTAAACAAGTTTGGGTGTTCGTTTTGGAGGCAAACATAATGCGACCAATTGCATACACGCAGCCGACAAATTTTGTTTGTCACATCACTGTTTGCTGCTCGTTGTAGATTCACTGCACGCGCGGTTCGCACAAATCCCAAAAGGTGCGGTTGTCTGTGCTGTATTGTCACGTGATTGTACATCGGTTTCGATGTATTTATCTGTGCTTGTGTGAGATAGAAGCTGTAGTAGATTGTGTGTTTGAGCGAAGGTGTAAAAAATGTGGTGTGATTACGGAGTGATATAAATGGAGTGAAATAATTATCGAGCCGGAGAGCCAGGAGGAGAGAGAAAATATGAGAAAATAGAGAAAGAGAGATAGAGAGAAAGACAGAAAATAAGATAGCGAAAATGGGGAGAATGACTGCTTGTTCTGTAATTACGGCATTTTATAGTGATGTTACGCGGTACTCGCATGTCTCTGAACATCGGATTCAGCGTAATTATCGCACACTGTGGCTATGTAATCGCTCGGCTTTTCGATTGGTTCAGGAACTAGCGCAAGTGTTTGAAGAGCCTGTTTTAGAAGCATGAATGACTGAGTCATGTTTTTGTCTCATGCTAGTAGTTTAGAAGGTGCGTGTCAGATTGAATGAGGTATTTGTGCGTTATTGTTTTCAGTGAGGGCGGAGATGTTCTGTGATTTCGGTTGAGTTTTGTGGTACCTATCGTGTTTGTTGAGTAGTAAATACAGTGTCTTAATGGAAACTGCGTCTGTGTGTCATTAAAAATGACGGAAGATGACAGAAAAATGATGTAGGAGGGTGGTGAAGGTGTATCTAAGTCATTCATCTACATCAGGCTGAACCCTATTTATTGCACGTGCAGGGCACTGTATAGAGGACCGTCTTTCCTAGAGGTGATGATAATGTAAAATCAGCTTAGAGTATGGTGTAGTTGCAAATTGACCAATACACATTTTTAGATAACATTTTAGGTAAACCATGTTAGCATAGCATTAACAACGTTCTCCGCTGGAAGTGAGAGCCCGGTTCAGGAAGTGAGAGCCCGGTTCAAGCCCCGGCGCGGGCGGTCACATTTAGCTCCTACGTGTAATGGCGTGCGTGTCTGTGGCAGGGGCCGCACAGAAGCCAGGTAACGTGAGTGAGCGAAGGGGACCGTGTCCAGTCGTCAGGGCACGTTAAACGTTCGGACAAAAATTCTGCCATACAACTGGAATTGCGCGATCGGGTGGTGGGGTCAGGGTCAGCACAACAAGCTATGCTTATGTGCGGGCTCTGATTCCTCAAATCCGCCCATTCAGCCATTCGGACTAAATTTATAAAAAAAAGTATTCACGGGAGGTGCCCACTGAATACTGATCTACTTCGCAATGCATAATGACACACAATTACGCAATGTTACTTCGCATCTGTATAACTTTGCGCAACGTACACCTAATGATTGCAAAGCTGAATTTAAATGTTAAAATATGCAGAATGCACACACTCCGTTGCAAATCTCGTATTTCATTTGACTTATTTATTAAACGCATAGCGGTTAAGTGCATGTTGAAGTTCACTACAAAGCAGATAAAGAACAGGAGCTCAATAGCTCTGTATTGATATCAGTGCCACATATATGTATGTATGTACATGAAAATTCAACTCATTATTGCCAAGTGGGTAGATGCTGAATGTGTACAGGGAGTTGAGCATTGTCGTAAACTTTTTTCAGAACAACAAACTACGCATATTCGGCTGAACATTTGGAATCAGCTTCCCAGCTAAATCTTCGAGTTAAAACGGTGTCAGCATCATCCATCTCGTCTACAGTTAACCTTCGAACAAGTCATAGAAGGTTTTAGCGTGCTTCACACCATTAGCGAACTAGGCCACCAGCTAAGCGACACACACGCACGCACCCACCATTTACCCACCACGCAGACAGCGCAGTCTCACGACCATTTTGACCATTCCTCGACAACAGCTGCCCGCTGAAATCCATTGGCACGCTGGATAACTGTTTTTGAGACGAGGAATTACTTCCTCGCGAGGCAGTCGCATTAGCGTGTGCAATTGAGAGGAAGGGCAAATCTCCGATGTCTCCTCGCGCCATACCGATACTGTCCGTGAGCGGGCCAGTGGTGTTCGAACTCACTCCGTTAGATCACACCCCGACTGACCGCCTAACTATGCACAGGTCTCCAGTGGCGGTCGCAGGGGGGGGGGCCATCAGGGCCATGGCCCCCCCAAAGGCAAATCAGGGGGCCATCATATCATTTGGCCCCCCCCCCCAAACAACCGATGGGCCCCCATGGCCGTATGGGGCCCTGGCCCGTATTCGACTGTCACGAGGCTCGAGAAACCCACGCCAGCTATTAACAGCTCTCATACCAGTCTTTGAGGGTCCTACACGGACCTCTGAGGGCCCTTCAGTGGCGGTCATGCGTCCACATTGACCGCTGAGGACCCACATTGACCTCTGAGGGCCCTCCACTGGCCTTTGAGGGCCCCTAAACCGGCCTTAGGGACCCAACCGGCGTCTGAGAGTCTCACACCGGCATCTGGTGGCCTCATTTCTGTCTCTCGAGTCCCAAGACCAGCCTTTAATAATTGTCTCTGAGGGCCCTGCGCTGGATTCTGAAGACCCGATGTCGGCCTCTAAGAGCCCGCAACGGCCTCTGGGGGCCCATCTTGGCCTTTGAGGGCCCTCCGCTGGTTTCTGGGTTCCAATGCCGGCCCATGCCGGCCTTTTAGGGCCCCAAACTGACCTCTAAGGGCCCATGCTGGCCTGTAAGGACCCACATTAGCCTCTGAGGGCCCCCGCACTGGATTCTGAAGACCCAATGCCGGCCGACCCGCATCGGCGTCTGAGGGCCCATCTTGGCCTTTGAGGGCCCACCTTGGCCTTTGAGGGCCCTCCGCTGGCCTCTGGGGTCCAATGCCGGCCCATGCCGGTCTTTTAGGGCCCCACACTGACCTCTGAGGGCCCCATGCTGGC